GCTGGAGAGGGATGGCACGAGACAAATGGCTTGGTCATTGTCTTCGGTCCATCCCCTCCAGGGTCCCTAGGGTTGGCCGCTGTCGGCAGACAGGCTACTGGGATAGATGGACCTTTGGTCTGACCCAGGACGGCCATTGTAAGCTCAGGGTCGGGGGTGTCAGTGGACCCCCTTGATTTTCATGCCAACCTGCTCCTGGGTGGCCAGGCTGGCAGCTCTCCTGCCCTAGACGGCCACTTTCCTGTGCCTAGTGCGGAGATCGTGCCAGGTGCAGGGTCTGCTGGCTGGGTGCTGGCAGGCTTGCACCTGGCACGGGCACCGTAGCCAGCCTGTGCCCCTTTAAGGGGGGGGCATAGAGTTTCCCTGGTGTTGGCCAGAGTGGCCACCAGGGAAACCTGGGGAGGGCTAGCCTCCCACTAGTTCGAATTAAGGGGCTACACACCCCTTAATTCAAACTAGTAAGTTCGAACTAGGCTTAATCCTCGTAAAATGAGGTTTTCCTAGTTCGAACTAAGCGCTCCGCTAGTTCGATTCAAATTCGAACTAGCGAGCGCTAGTGTAGCGGCTATGAATGTTAGTTCGAACTAACATTGTAGTGTAGACATACCCATACTTACTTGCCTTTCTGTAATTCTGGAGGAACCGTACTTCCTTCGTTTCTTCATCTATGATGAACTGCAGACTAATTGTGATCACGGACATGACTTTAAAATTGCATTGCCACTAAATACATAGCTCCAGATCAGCTACTAGAAGTGGGCCTCATCCTCCCTGATTTGCTATATGCATTGGCCAAACAGGACATTCCCTACATAAAAGAATAAATGGACACAAATCTGATATTAGGAATGGCAATATACAAAAACCTGTAGCGGAACACTTCAATCTTCCTGGACACACAATAGTAGATCTAAAAGTAGCCATCCTGCAGCAAAAACACTTCAAGACCAGACTTCAAAGAGAAACCGCTGAGCTACAGTTCATCTTTAAGTTTGACACCATCAACTCAGGATTAAACAAAGACCGTGAATGGCTAGCTAAATACAAAAGCAGCTTTTCCTCTCTTGGTATTCACACCTCCAGATCAGCGACTAGACGTGGGCCCCATCCTCCCTGATTGGATTCACCTCGTTGTCTCTAGCCTGATTCTGGCCTGCACATATATACCTGCCTCTGGAAATTTCTACTACATGCATGTGACGAAGTGGGTCTTTGCCCACGAAAGCTTATGCTCCAACATTTCTGTTAGTCTATAAGGTGCCACAGGACTCCTTGCCACTAAATACAGAGCTACCTTTCAAATGCAGTTTTTGGCAGCAATAGAACTCTTAAGGAATAATGCTTTTAAATGCTTCTTGTGTGTCTGGTGGTCCCCATGTGTCTACCCAAATCATAGCCACCTTGTCTGCTTTTTGTTCCTAGTAGTATATTTATAAAGTCTGTATTGTCCTATGTCCTTAGACCAGCCAGCCATGGGTTTTCCCTGATGCATTTAAGCATCTCAATTTTCTACATTTCATAGCTTCTCAATTATATTGATTGGTCCTTCTTTCCCCCTTTTCCCTATTGTTATATGTTGCTTTACATTTCTAGCTGCTGCTCTTAAGTTGCTTCTGAACCAGACTGAGTTTTTAGCCAAAGTTCTTCTCTTTCTGAATCATGGATTTTTTGGCCATCTAATAAATGCTTCTTAAATAACTCCCACTTTCAGTGTTCAAGTTTGGATGGTCACATATTGAAAGAAGAGACGTATTGTTCTGTACCAAAGGATGGTTGGAGAGAGGGACAAACATGCTTCAATTCCAGCCAAAAGAGCTGCTTACATTAGGACCATTTTCACACAGAAAACAGAAATCACAACCTAAAAATGCCATTCTTAGGCTAGACAATTGACTTGATTTCAGCCCAAGAAATTGAAACAGTGTATTCATACATGTATCATTTATATGAATCAACAACGTGATACTGTTGCAAAACAAACAAACAAACAAACAAACAAAAAAACCCCACAACCCACACCACATCCAAACATAATTCTGGGATGTATTAGCACAAGTGTTATAAGCAAGACACGAGAAGTCATTCTACCCTGGAACTCTGCCCTGATTAAGCCTCCGTTAAAGTAACGTGTCTAGTTCTGGGCACCACATTTCAAGAAAGATGTGAAGAAACTGGAGAAGGTCCAGAGAAGAGCAACACAAATGATTATAGGTCTCGAAAACATCACCTACGAGGGAAGATGGAAAGAACTGGGTTTGTTTGGAAAAGAAAAGACAGAGAGGACTTGATAGCAGTTTTCAAGTACCCAAAAGGGTGTTACAAAGAGGAGGGTGAAAAACTGTTGTTCTTAACCTCTGATGATAGGAGAAGAAGCAGTGGGCTTAAACTGCAGCATGGGAGTTTTAGGTTTGGACACCGGGAAAAACTTCGTTAGGATAGTTAAGTACTGGAATAAATTGCCTATAGAGGTTGTAGAATCTCCATCATCAGAGATTTTTAAGAGCAGGTTACACAAACATCTTTCAGATCTAGATGGTGCTTGGTCTTGCCATGAATGTAGGGGACTGGAATAAATGACCTCTCAAATTCCCTTTCAGTTCTAGTGTTCTATGATTATAGAGGTAACTTTCACTATTTCATAGTTCAATGCCTGTTGAGTGTTATGACTGAAAATATTTGTGATTAATAAGGCAAATTGATGTTTTGTTTCTTTGATCTTTGTAGACTTCAAGAAGGCTAAAACAAGTCTTTTTAAATGACCAGAAGATGCTTTGAAAATGCTTCTTAAGAAAAAAAAAAAAAAAGGGGGGGGGGGGGAGAAATGGGAAGAGTAAAAAACCCACACACACTGATAAGTTCAGCCAGCCCTGCCTTTAAACACAATGCACTATGAAGCCCATAGTTCAAGCATAAATAGATTTTTGGACCTCTTCGTGCACAGGTTATTAGGATGTTGACTTTAAAACAAACGAATTATTAATATACTTTGTTGGAATGGAATGGATGTCCACCAACAATTGAAGTGGTTGTCATTGCTAAGTGACTAAATCAAAGTTCTCTTTGTCACCCCTATGCATTGCTGATTTCAAAATGCCACTAGAAGAGTTCATGCAGTTTCCTCTGAAGCAGCTGATTTTATCAGACAGAGAATTCTTGACTCAAGGCTTACTGGTCTGATTCAGTATTGCTGTTCTTGTCCTCATATGCAAAATTGCTTCTTACAAAACAAGGCTCTGTTTCCAAAGATACAGAGCTTGACATAGATCTGGGCAGGAAATTCTTCAGGTGTGTGTGTTTATGTGACCACACTTATGAACAGGGATGTGAAAGGTTAGCTGGTAAGCAGCACCCTTAACTGATGATGCTTATCCGTTCCAGTTATCCATCAACTGGTGGGGGCTGCTCCAGCCTCAAGGGGGCCTGCCACAAACAAGGGCTACTCCAGTCCTCCAGAGCAGCCTATCCTCGCAGACCAGGGCATCTGGAGCAGCCTTTGTCTGCAGCATGCCTGATCATCCAGAGCACCCTCTGTCCACAGAGAATCCAGGTGCCCCGCAGGCAGGAGCTGCTCCAGACAACCAGAGCAGCCCCTGCCTGATGCATCCTGGCCTGCCCTGGACAGGGCTGGGCTGGAGCATCCTGTGCCTGCAGCAGAGGTGTTGCTCCAACCCAGTCTTGGCAGGCAGAAGAGCAGCTCCAACCCAGCAGGAGTAGAGCAGTTCCCCCTGCCCTCGCCCTCTTTAATTGGTTAACCGGTTAACACAAACAGTTAACCAAGTAAATGGGATTTAAATCCCTACTTATGAATTTAAAAATATATCACCTGGTATTACATCTTAATACACGTTTATAAGTCATATTGTTGAATCAACACTTCGCAAGGACACAATCTTCCTATGAAGAAAAATGTTGAGTCAGTGTATTCAGAATGTACAATAGTGATAGAAATGTAGCCGTGTTAGTCTGGTGTAGCTGGAGCAAAAAACAGGACTATGTAGCACTTTAAAGACTAAATATTTACCTCCCCCCCTCATCCCCCTTCTGTTCTGAAATGTGATTTGTCCTTTTCATATGTGTTCATTTTTGTGATTGTATCCTTTGGTATATATGGTTGTGACTATTTTCTTCCACTATTTGAGCTGAGGAAGTGGGTCTGGCCCACGAAAGCTCATCATCTAATATACCATTTTGTTAGTCTTTAAAGTGCTACATACTCCTGTTTTTTATTCAGAATGTACACATTATGAACTCTTTCAGGCCTTGCTAGTTTTAAAGACAAAACATGAAAAACAAAGTTCTGTTAGGAGCTCAACTTCCAATACCACCAGAACAAGGAGAGGCCAGAGTGAAGACAAAAGTGTCACCTGCCTTGCTTTATTTTTGCTTGCAGTATCCACACAGAGCTTTATTTGTAGCAGTCTTTCAATATGTGTCATTTGTTGCCCTGTCCACTTTTTAAAAATAAAGTAAAATCCAGGACCAACTGATTTATAGTCCCATGAGCCCATAGAGCACATCCCAGTACTCATGAATTACCCCAAAACAGTAAATCTTTCTGCATGTGTATGTGTTTGTGAATACAAATTCCAGTATGTGATTTGTGCCCATACAATTTCTCCCTGTGTTTTTATATTCATACAATGAACTGTAGATTTAGGTCAGAATACTTGAACCTCTAGCCATAGCAGGGAGAAAGACCTACAAATAATATAATTTCCTATGGGACAGAGAGGAAAAGGTATGAATTTGTAGTGACTCAAAAATTAATCCTCAGCTCTAGAAGTGACACATTGCTTTATTTGAAACCTGGGACTTGTGGGCTCTTTTCTCCAAAATTAAGTCTGTTCCCTCCGGACAAGTAACTTGTAACTTCCACTGCCCTGGTTTTTCCCTCCTGGCTTGCATAACTCTAGAGACTTTACAGCCTATGAGATAGTGTATTGTCATCTGAATATTTGCACGCATGGTCTGAGGGCCTCACCCACCTCATTTAAATTGTAATTGGTTTGTACAGGAGAGACCTGCCCAAGATCCTCTCTATAAATGGTGTTTCAAGCCCAGCTTCCAGGCTCATCATACAACACCATAACTGAACAGAGTACCAGACAAGAGTGGCAGAATAGCAAAAAACCATGGCTGGTGAGTAAAATACAAGTCTCTCAACAAATACCCTACGGGCAACTGAATAAGGTTATGTTCCCTTATCAGGATGGTCTGGTCAGTGGGAATTTGTTGCAAAGAGCTGTAAGGGTTACATACCCTGTAGTCTGGGAGTTAGAGTAAGTTGTGAGACTAGTAACAGATAATATCAACTTTTCTTTTTCTGATTTTTAATTCTACAACATAGAGAAAATGAAATATTCCAATCCTTAAAATACTGTAGCAGAATATCACAAAACAGATGCAGAGCAGTGTTGGTTGTGGAGAACCATTATGACTGTGCAGACACCACATCCAAAAAATTACCAAGTGTACAGAATGTGACTATTTTGTGTGGGTCAAGTTCAACATTAGGAAGATAGAAGGTGAGCTAGAGATTGAATCATAGCTAGCATTAATAGAGGCATTTATAGTAGGTGTATTTTGTGAGCATTAATAATATCCTTCTGAGGACTGAGTCTCATGTTTTTAGTTACTTATTGCAAACTAGTCTTCAGGGTGGAGTTTGTGTGTTAACAGAGTCTGTGTTTATAGAGGTGTTTGTGTTTATAGAGCAGACATGTCGGGCTAGGTACCATCCTGTAGGTACAAGGTAGGTGTAGTGCATCCCTTGTACTTGCAGTAGCACCTTTAAACCTAGACTGGGGTTTGTTCTTATGAGCCCCAACAGGGAAATTTAGCCTGGAGAGGGAATGAATCACTGTCTCTCTCTGCTGTGGATTTATGTGGATTTATTCTGCCAGTGCTGCCTTTTGCACGGATGCCTAGCTTGCTGGTGATGGTGTATTGTGTGGCCTGCCAGTGCCCACTTGATGAATTTCTAAACATAACAGGTGGGCTCTGACCTTCTAGTCATCGAAATGTTCATCTCTAAGAAATGAACTGAGCAAAAGGAGAGTTGTGAAGGGGTCAGATGCATGTTATGGGCAGGTATAAAAAAATCTGCTCCATTAAATATTGCGTAAGTAAACAGCCACGAAAAACGCTCTTGGCAACCTAAGAGAGCTCTTTGTTAACAGAGAGCGCGTGTGTTAAAACTAGACAGAGAAACACTAACCACACATTGCAGCAAGAAGGAAATAACCACGAGCCCAGAATTTCTGCAGTGTAACAGTTGTGCAACGATGTGCCAACACCATAGCCCTATTTTAACAACTGGCTTCTCAAACCTCCCCCAATGCCTCCAGTCTGCTCCATTTGCAACTAACAAATGCTCTCAGTAGGAAGGGGAGAGAATACAGTATCTGTCCATTTGGTTCCCTCCCTCCCCACTTAAACAGAACTCACTCTCATTACCCCGCTTTAGGAAGGGGCAGCCCCACTGACAAACAAGCTGGCACTTGGTGGATGAGGTCAGGCTTCGTGAGAGACAGCTAGAGCACTTCACAGCCCAGTGCAATGCTCCCTATGTGGGATCTGAGGCAGGGTGTAGACCAGGGGAAATGGTGGGTTGGGGAGGGATCCTTCCTATGGCTCTGTTTAAATGTAGAACCTGCTACTTGGTGCAATCAGAGCTTTTATAAAGGGAATATTTTTCTCTCCAGCAGGTCCAAATGAACCCAGGTAGGTCATTTCTGGCTGGGCTAATTTAGTAGCATCCAGAAAGGAAGCTGGAAGTAATTCCTCTAGACCCAGGAAACATATTCCAACTTCCTGCTCAATTTGACTGCAGAATTTTAATAGGGATTCATACTGAAAATGTAACATTTAAAAAGGGCTCCAGAGATGACCCTGGCAGTACTGGGCAAATTAGTTGAAACTATAGTAAAGGACAGAATTGTCAGACACATAAATGAACCTAATTTTGGGGGGGGGAGGGGAAGAGGCAACATGGTTTCTGTAAAGGGAAATCCTGCCTCACCAATCTACTAGAATTCTTTCAGATGATCAACCAACATGTGGACCAGAGGGATATAGTGGATATAGTGTACTTAGATTTCCAGAAAGCCTTTGACAAGGTCCCTCACCAAAGGCTCTTAAGTAAAGTTAGCTGTCATGGGTTAAGAGGGAAGGACCTTTCATGGATTAATACCTGGTTAAAAGATAGGAAACAAAGGTTAGGAAGAAATGGTCAGTTTTTAGACTGGAGAGAGGTAACTAGCGGTGTCCCACAGTGGTCCATACTGGAACCAATCCTATTCAACATATTCATAAATTATCTGGGGAAAGGGATAAAACAGCAAGGTGGCAAAATCTGCAGATGAAATTAAACTGCTTAATATAGCAAAGTCCAAAAAAGACTGTGAAAAGCTTCACAAGGCTCTCATAAAACTAGGTGACTGGGCAACAACATAGCAAATGAATTTTAATGTTGATAAAATGCAAATTAATGCATATTGGAAAACATAATCCCAACTGTACATACACAATGATGGGGACTAAATTAGCTGAGATCACTCAAGAGACACATCTTGAGTCATTGTGGATAGTTCTCTGAAAATATCCCCTCGATGTGAAGTAACCATCAAAAAGCAAATACAATGTTAGGAATAATTTTAAAAGGGATAAAGAATAAGAGGGAATATCTTATTACCTCTATATAAAACCATGGTACACCCATATCTTGGGCACTGTGTGCAGTTAAAATTGTCAGACACATGGATGATTATAATTTGTTGGGGGGGGGAGTCAACATGGTTTCTGTAAAAGGAAATCATGCCTTACTAATCTGCTCGAGTTTTTTGAGGGTGTCAACAAACATGTGGACAAGGAGGATCCAGTGGATATAGTATACTTAGATTTCCTGAAAGCCTTTTACAAGGTCCCTCACCAAAGACTCTTAAGTAAAGTAACTTGTCATGGGATAAGAGGGAAGGTCCTTTTGTGAATCGATAACTGGTTAAAAGACAGGAAACAAAGGGTAGGAATAAATGATAAGTTTTCCGAGTGGAGAGAGGTCCCCCAAGCATCTGTCCTGGCCCTGGGACCCATCCTATTCAACTTATTTACCCTTTCCTCTTGATTATCTATAAACAGTGAAGTGGCAAAATCTGCAGAGGATACAAAACTGCTCAAGGTAGTTAAGACCAAAGCAGATCAAGAAGAACTTCAAAAAGATCGCACCAGACAGTGAAGAGCTTCCAAAAAATCTCACCAAATTAAGTGACCGGGCATCAAAATGCCAAATGAAATTTAATGTTGATAAATACAGAGTAATGCACACTGGACAAAATAATCCCAACTAGACATACAATATGATGGGGCCTCATTTAGCTACAACTACTTAAGAGAAAGACCTTGGAGTCATTGTGCTTAGTTATTTGAAAACATCCACTCAGTGTGCAGTGCCAGTCAAAAAAGCAAATAGAATGTTAAGAATCATTTAAAAAAAAAAAAAAGGGATAGAGAATATATTATTGCCTCTATATAAAACCATGGTACACCCACATCTTGAATACTGCACCTCATCTCCAAAAAGATAGATTGGCATTGGAAAAGGTTCAGAAAAGGGCAACAAAAATTATGAGAATTTTGGAATGGGTCCCATAAGAAGAGAAATTAAAAGGACTTGGACTTTTCATCTTAGAAAAGAAGAGACTAAGGGGTGATATGATAAAGGTCTATAAAATCATGACTGGTGAGGTGAAAATAATAAGGAAAAGTTATTTACTTGTTTCCATAACACAAGAACTAGGGGGTCACCAATTGAAATTAATAGGCATCAGGCTTAAAACAAATTAAAGGAAGTACTTCACACAACGCACAGTCAACCTGTGGAACTCCTTGCCAGAGGATGTTGTGAAGACCAGGACTTTAACAGGGTGTGACAGACCGGGCCGTGTCTGGGCACAGTGGAGGGTGTCTGCTCAGGATGAATTGCTCAACTTCGGGGCTCCTTACAGTCCCCAGACTGGTGACCTCTCCAAACAGGACACAAACCAGTCCCACAGAGCGCTTCAGCTGCCTGCCTGAAGCTTCATGAGCAAAACCCCTCCGACACCCCAGCAATATCCGTGCCCCAGGTGGCCCCGGGCCTCATACACCAGTGGGGGTTCTTAGAACCCAATCCTACCTACCCCGAACAAGTTCTGTCCGGTTCCAAGAAACCAGCCACGGATCCCTGGTCAATTTACGCTCTGGACCTTACCCACAAATCACGCTGAGCCAATCCTTTAGCAACTACCATCTAAAAGTTTATTATTACAATAAAGAAAAGCATGAGAGTAAGGTTGTTAAAGGATAGTACATTACATGCATCGAATCTCCCAGTTCTCGATGCAGGCTCTAGGAGAGATGTTACAGCTGCTGGCTCAAAAGTCCTTGTTGTGCATCCTAGGATCAGGATGGGTCCACAGTTCTTCCTGGCTCTTCAATCCCTGCACTGCTGCCTCTGGGATGAAGTTCTGAGCTGAGTACCAAGATGGACTCGACCACATGGCCTATTTATCCCTCCTTCCTGGTCTCTTCTTGGCTGCAGCAGGTCACCTGGCCAGTGGCCTATCCCTGTGTTCCCTGCTGGCAGCCCTTAGCCGTCAGCCCTCATCCTTTAGGTGTGTCCTTGGCCCATTGAGAGCCATTGTCCCACAGGGCCTCGCTGATTAGCATGTCCATAGGCCGGGCTCTGCCCAATGCTCAACCACATGCAGGGAAATATTCAGTATCTACACAGATTACAGATTCCTAACTCCACACACAGACATTCTACAGTCACATGACCAGCGTCCATAGGATTAGCAGACAGTGAGCTTCTATTCAACACCCCATGGCCCCCTTTTATACCATTTTTGGGGCCAACACCTCCACCCATGGGTGCAGCAGTGATCTGGCTGCTTCCCTCAAATTCAGTAACATGACACAAGGTTCAAAATTTATGGAGGTTAGGTCCATCGATGACTATTAGCCGGATGGGTAGGAATGGTGTCCCCTGGCCTCTGTTTGCCAGAAGCTGGAAATGGGTGACAGGGGAGGGATCGCTTGATGATTCTCTGTTCTGTTCACTCTCTCCGGGGCATCTGGCCTGTGGCCCTTGTTAAGTTCTAAAGAGAATGGGGAGTAGGATGAAATTCAATGGTATGAAGTACAAAATCGTTCTGTTCATTCCATCTAGGGCAGTGGGCATTGGCCACTGTTGAACGACAGGATACTGGGCTAGATGAAGCTTTGGTCTGACTCAAGCAGGATGGCCATTCTTATGCTATGAAGGATCCTGGATCTTTCATGCTGGAAGGGCATAACAAGTGGAGTTCTGCAGGGGTCTGTTTTGGGACAGGTTCTGTTCAATATCTTCATCAACGATTTAGATGATGGTATAGAGAGTACACTTAAGTTTGCAGATGATACCAACCTGGTAGGGATTGCAAGTGCTTTGGAGGGTAGGATACTAATTCAAAATTATCTGAACAAACTGGGGAAATGGTCTGAGGTAAATAGGATGAAATTTAATAAAGACAAATGCAAAGTGCTCCACTTCGGAAGGAATAATCAGTCTCACACATACAGAACAGGAAGCGACTGTTTAGGAAGGAGTACAGAAGAAAGGGATCTAGGGGTCATAATGGACCACAAGCTAAATATGAGTCAACAGTGTGATGCTGTTGCAAAAAAGCAAACATGATTTGGGGATGATTTGTGAGCAAGATACGAGAAGTCATTCTTCTGCTCTAGTCTGCACTGATTAGGCTCCATTGGAGCATTGTGTCCAGTGCTGGGCACCACATTTCAATAAAGATGTGGAAAAGCTGGAGAAGATCCAGAGAATATCAATAAAAATGATTAGAGGTATAGAAAATATGCGCTATGAGGGAAGACTGAAGGAATTGGGCTTGTTTAGTTTGGAAAAGAGAAGACTGAGAGGGTACGCAATAGTGGTTTTCAGGTATCTAAAAGGGTGTCATAGGGAGGAAGAGAAAAATTGTTCTCCTTAGGCTCTGAGGAAAAGACAAGAAGCAATGGGCTTAAACTGCAGCAAGGGAAGTTTAGGTTGGACATTAGGAAAAACTTCTTGTCAGAGTGATTAAACACTGGAATAAATTGCCTAGGAAGGGTGTGAAATCTCCATCTCTGGAGATATTTAAGAGCAGATTAGACAGACACCTGTCAGGGATGATCTAGATGGTGTTTGGTCCTGCTGTGAGGGAAGGGGACTGGACTTCATGATCTCTCAAGGTCCCTTCCAGTTCTAGTATTTTATGATTCTATGATCCAGTTGCTTCTTTCACAGTCTCCTCTCACTGACAGTCTGACATTGTTCAGCCTTCAGCCCCTGTTGCATAACAACCAATAAAGGTCTGAGTCTTACCTAGAAATATCTTGTGCACACACTAGAACTATCAAGTGGGGGTTCAAGGAAATGCAAAACAGAGATCTTGGATCCAAACCCCAGACTGGGGATGGCAAGAGACACTTCTCACTTGTAAGTGGAATATGCAGTATTAGCTGGAAGTCGCATTTTCTGTGCATTATCTACACTGCACCTGTGGAACTCGTGGAAGTGAAATGCATGGGACAGAGAGATGAGGACAAATGGACCTGCGCCAGCTTTCTGCTACTGGGAGTCCCTGGGGTTGTCTCCTGCGGAAACCATTTTTTTAAATAATTATCTATATGGAAACATTGTATGTGACAAGCCAGGATGTCAATCAGCATACCAGTCTGCCAGGCACTAAGAGCTGGATGGACACTAGCTGCCATGTGCTAAAAGTGCCATTGTGCTGTCTGAAATAGGCCCATAAGCACACCCAGCTCTCTCTTCAGTGACCCCAATCCTGAACTGATCTCATCAGAACCAACCCATGAAAACACCTCTAGCTTCAACTTTCACCTCTCCCCCAGCCACCCAAGATCCGTTCTTCTCTGCAACACACTGTTCTTAATAATGAGCTTGTAGTCCTCTCACCCCCACTGTCTTTCCAGTAGGGTTGCCAGATGGTTTAACAAAAAAAAAAAAAAAAAAAATACAGAACACCCCCACCAACCAACCCCTGCCAAAAAAACACACTGGGGAAAAAAAACCTAGTTTGAAAGAAAGGGGGGGGGGGAGGAATCTGACCGCAAAAAACAGTTGCGGTCCCTTTAATTCCCGGGACCAGTGTAAAAAATAAAAAGGTGTTGGTACACCAGGGGAAAAATTGTTGTCCCCTCCCCCCACAAAAAAGTTGAAAAGGGGAAAAGGAAAAACAACAACCTCAGTTTGCCCTTTTCAGAGCAGAACACGCATTGTCCTTTTAAGGTGGCCATTTTGAAGTTGGTTCTCGGAGGTCTCGGTACACTGCATTCTTTTACCTTAAGCCCTGCCCAGGGTGCTCCATCCTTTCCCCGCCCCAGCCCAAGCCAGGAAAAACAGAAGATACCAGACATATGAAATGTCCAGTATATTCTGAATTTTTTTTATCAGACAGAAGGCCCATATACTGAGCTGTCCAGTTCAATACCGGACACCTGGCATCCCTACTTTCCAGCTGACAGGAATCCTAAAGGAGAGACCCAGTGCCTCTCCACACCTTCTTAGCAAATGCTTCTCTTTGGGGGCAGCTGCCAGTTATTTCTGGAGGCAGACAGAACTAAGCAAGTGGGAAAGTGGGGTGAGTCATCACAATTTAAAATGCAGCAGCATGTCTTAGCTCTATAGGCATTTTGAGTCCTATGTTGTTTCCTTCCCAGGGGCCAAAAGGATTCTTCGATATTGCCATGCTTTCCACCTCAAATGTTCAGCCTTGTGTCATAGCTCTAGAGATCATATTTTGACTGAAAGAAGCAGCCAATAGGATTAAAGTCCATTATGTATTCAAGCAACTCACAATGACTCAACTCCACCAACTCTCTCCAGATGCTTTCCCAAGCTCCATCTAGTTCCACATTAACCAAGTCTCGCTCTATGTAGTCAGCACTAGCTACTGCAAACGTCTCTGCTTTGAGAGATGGCTCATTCCAAGGAGCTAGATAAAATGCCTCCAAAATGAAAAATCGGTTCCTCTGTGGGATGGAAACACAAACACAGGAAGTAATTCCTCCATCAAATCACCTCCCATTGCCCACTGCTACTTAAAACACGTACAACTTCAGAGCAGATGCCTGAGATTTTTAATTTCAGTCCCTACAGGCTCCTCCGCCCCCACAAAGCTTTGGGCTTCTCCTCAGCTCTTCTCTCTCCTCTCACAGATTTAAAATTGACAAATATCAACTGGCAGCTAGAAGCAAATGGGAGCGCACACCATACCGATGAATACGCCAGCAAAGAACTCATTGTGAGGAGAGGACAGCCCTTCTCCATCATGCTGAACTACAACAGAACACTGAAGCCTGAAGAGAGCTTAACATTCACTGCAGAAACAGGTAATGGCCCTGCTTCGTTCACTCCCTTCGGTGAGTGTGCATGGTGTTAAGTGTATCTCTCTCACACAAGTGAACGGGGTTTGGCTTCCATTTGTCTATAGCAAGGCTGGGGAATGGTTTTTGGGTGGGGGGGGCTGCTGACCCACAAAAAAAAAAAAAAAAAAAAATCGATTGTGGGCTGCACACAATTGAGACGCTCCTGAAGAAGGAGAAAGACACTCCACATGTTCTTCTCGCAAACCAGAGCCTAGCGGGGCCCAGGCTAGTCAATTTGTGTGTGTTCCAGCCCTACAGGGAAGTTGTAGGGGGCTGGAGTGCCAGCACAGGCTCCCCAATGCTGAATGGGGAGCCTGGAGTCTTGGGGACTGGATCCAGGCAAGCTGGGGGCCAAACTTTATCCGTGTTCTTTATCCTCTTTGAAAGGACCAAAACCATCACTGCAAGCTAAGACCCAGGCTGTATTCAGCATCTCCAGCACAGCAAGCAATGGTACCTGGAGCGCAGTCCAACAATCCACCGAGTCCAGCTCCGTCACCATCTCTATTTACTGTCCAGCCAATGCTGCCATCGGACGCTACAAACTGAGCGTGCAGCCTACCTCAGCCTCCCGTACACCTGTCGGAACTTTTGTTCTACTCTATAACCCCTGGTCTCAAGGTACAGACACTCGGGTTGCTCCCTGAGTAACTCACTGCAGCTTTAATACGTGCAGCTTGCCCATCTGATGTACAGCAGCTGAACCCCCCAGCAAGTGTGGGGATCCGGAGTGCCCCCATGCCTTCCAGTGACACAAAAACCACTGAATGGCTTAGACACCTACAGTAGAGGGCACAGGAGGCAGCGCTCCCTCTCCTCTCAGTGCAGTCAGGGTCCTGTGGGATTCCCAAACTCATCACATTCATTCTGTAGCTTGTGTGTGATTACAGAGTCCTACCGGGGAGACAGGCATAGCCTGAGCCCTGTGCCCCCCACAGCTCAGCCCCACCACAGAAGAGCAGAAAGTGGGCACTCCCAGGGACTCTGCTATCCCCGAGAAAAGAGACAAGGCCCTGAAGCCGGCACACACTAACTTTCCCCTGCAGAACAGAGACTTAGCCACATGTCCTCCCTCTCCCTTCCGTCACCTCCAGCCCCACCAGCAAAAGGGTGGTGTTTCTAAAATCCGTTGATGAGAACAGAGCAGAGCCGGGTGGGAGTTTACAGGAGCTCATCTGAGGCTCTTAAATCTCGGCCCTTTTGTGGTTTTACAGCACCTCTGCTTTGGGTTTTCAGGAGATGATGTGTTTATGCCTAACAATGCTGAACGCCAAGAGTACGTGATGGAAGAGTTTGGGATGGTTTTTACAGGCAACGCAAACCGCATTAACAGTTCTGGTTGGAACTATGGCCAGGTAAATACAAAGCAAAGAACATGATATACGGATCTCCTTTCAATACATTAATGGAGATGCCTATCTCCTAGAACTGGAAGGGACCTTGAAAGGTCATCGAGTCCAGTCCCCTGCCTTCTCAGCAGGGCCAAGTACCATCCCTGACAAATGTTTGCCCCAAATCCCTAAATGGCCTCTGCAAGGATAGAAATTAGCAGGCCAATGCTCAAACCACTGAGCTATCCCTCCCCTGCCTTTCTTCTTGCCTCCTCTCTCTAGTTCACACTTTTGCTACACTGTCTTTAAGAGACTTCCTGGGGCACTAGCAGCCACTAGCCATTTTTCTCTGCACCAGGCCTCGTCTCATGCCCCCACCTTATACCAGCTCACATAAGCATCAGTATCAATAACTGGGCATTTCTCCTAAACCAGGAGTCCCAGAGTTCAGCTGTAAACATCTAAAAGCCTCTGCTGGATAACTCTGTACACAGATGGAACTGCCGTGGTGCTGGGCCGCACTGTCCCAACCCTTATCACGCAGTCGTCAATCCTGTGACCTGAAAGATCAGTTGTGATCTCCTCGCTTGACCTGCTGAATGACACAGGCATGAGATCGTCATTCGAGTAACTCCTGCATCAAGCCCAAATTTACATTGCAGTAGAAAGGCTCATTAAGAAACGTTTAAAATATTATTCCAAATACTGCGTTACACTATGTTACCCTGATGATTTATAAGGAAGAACAATTTGGATCACATATAACATCAACCTGTTTTTCAAACAGTTTCAAAAAGGCATTCTGGATATTTGCCTCGCCTCGCTGGATAAAAGCCTAAACTACCGTAGAGACCCTGCCACCGATGTGTCTCGCAGAAATGATCCCAAGTACGTGGGCCGTGTGCTCAGTGCCATGGTAAGAAAAGGGTTAAATTACTCTGCATTAGAAACACTGCAAAAGCCAAAGCCACTGGCTGTTTTTTTTAAAGGCAGATGGGAGATACAAACTGTGTATTTACCTTCACAGGGAATTGCAGCTCAGAAACCACAGTGACAAAAAACCTACCTGATTTGTGCCTGCAAGCTCTTCCTAATCGAGGGTATTACTGAGGCACCTATTACTTAAATATCCAGGGTTCCTTCCACAGACAAGAGTCTTCCCTAGATGTTGTTCCTGGTCTCTTCATTTGCTTTGAGTATGCAACAGGGTTTATTCTCCAGCGCTAACACTTCTGTCATTAGCACTACACTGAGTTACTTGAGGATTAGAAGCTTTCTTATAATTCCCAGCATGAATTTGTCCATGGCCAGTTAATATCCACATGTTATTTTGCTGACATTGTGTTTGAGCTTAAATAGCTCTTCACCCTCCATGATATTTACCTCCCAATATAAAAAGCAATCATATCTCCTCTCAGCCTGCTTTTTGCTCAACTGATTGGGTAAAGCTCTTCAGCTCCTCTCGTACAGTAGACTTCTAGTCCCTTGATCCTTCCAATAGTTTTTCTCTGCATCTGTTCTAGTTAAAATTAAATATACAAGTGTGTTACCGTTTAAATAGTTTCTATTACGGTTACACACCATCTTCCAGCCCTGCTCCTGGAGAGCTGGCTGATGCCCTGCACTGCTGGCTCTGTATCAGGGTCTGTAACGCAGGGCAGCAGCTGGCTCCCCAGAAGCGGGGCCAGCATAAGCCAGCTTCCGTCACACACCACCTCCCGGCTGCCAGCCCTTCTGCAGAACCCGCAATCTGTAACCACTAAGTTTTTTATTGGATACAAGGTTACATTAGCGATGAGGAGTCCTGTGGCACCTTATAGACTAACTGAAGTGTAGGAGCATAAGCTTTCGTGGGCAAAGACCCACTTCGTCAGATGCATGTAGTGGAAATTTCCAGAGGCAGGAATAAATATGCAGGCCAGGATCAGGCTGGAGATGACCAGGTGGATCCAATCAAGGAGGATGAGGCCCACTTCTAGCAGCTGATCTGGAGGTGTGAATTCCAAGAGAATAGAAGCTGCTTTTGTAGTTAGCAAGCCATTCACAGTCTTTGTTTAATCCAGAGTTGATTGTGTCAAACTTAAAGATGAACTATAGCTCAGCATGCATCTGACGAAGTGGGTCTTTGCCCACGAAAGCTTATGCTCCTACACTTCAGTTAGTCTATAAGGTGCCACAGGACTCCTCGTCGCTTTTGCAGATTCAGACTAACACGGCTACCCCTCTGATACGTTTATTAAGTTTGCACTCAAAGGAGTATACAAAAGAATATTAAGGTTGTTGCATCCAGTCTGGATCATAACAATGGTCCATACTGGGCCAGACCAAAGGTCCATGTAGCCCAGTGTCCTGTCTTAAGACAGTGGCCAATTCCAGGTGCACAAGAGGGAAAGAAAGAACAGGTAACCATCAAGTGAGCCATCCCCTGTCATCATGGCATGTGGGTGAACCTAGGGCTGGAGGAGGCAAGCCCCCAACTCCCTCCTGCCACCTGAGGCATCCAAGGGAGCCAGTCTCTCTCACCCCCCCTATAGTCCCCAGCCACTCTCCCGCAAGCAAAAGGTGGACGGCCCCAGCCTGGAGCCCAGGCAGCCCAAGCTATGCTGAAGGGGGCAGCTGGGGGCAGAGTGTGGGTGGAGCCACATCCAGATTCTGACGGACAGAGGCCAGGAACACCACCCCTGCACCCATCTTGGCTAATAGCCATTGATGGACCTGTCCTTCATGAATCTATCTAGCTCTTTTTTGAACCCTGTTATATTTTTGGCCTTCACAGCATCCTCTGGCGAGGAGTTCCACAGGCTGACAATGCACTGTGTGAAGAAACACTTCTTTTTGTTTGCTTGAAACCTGCTGCCTATTGATTTTATTTGGTGACCCCTAGTTCTTGTGTTATGAGAAGGAGTAAACAGTGTTTCCTTATCTACTTTCTCTATACCATCCTGATTTTATAGCTCTGTCATATCCCTCCTTAGCTGTCTCTTTTCCAAGCTGAAACATTGCAGTCTTATTAATCTTTCCTCATACAGAAGCGGTTCCATATCCTTAATCAGTTTTCTTGCCCTTTTTACTGAGTCTTGTCCAATTCCAATATATCATTTTGAGAGTGGGCGACCGCGTAGGCACCCAGCCTGTGGATTTACCACGGATTGACAGAGTCAATATGGTACTTTCTGTCTATAGCTTTCTTAATCATTCCCAATATTTGGTTTGCCTTTGTGACTGTGGCAGCACACTGAGTGGATCTTTTCAGAGAATTTTAAGGAATTTTTCCAGGTAGTTTCAGTAAAACATGAAGCTGCTCTGAGATGTAATGTACATCTCCCCACTTAGGGCCTTGTTTGTGCTGCAACTCAGCACATGGCCAGCTGGGGTAGGGGAATACATCTACAGCATGCTGACACCAGCTGGCACATGGACCCTGATGAATCTATGAAAAGCATCCAGAAAAGAGACAGAATCAGCAGGCAGCTGACAGACTGGCTGGGAGGAGGGCGGGGGGGAGGGGGAGGAGCTGGGGTAGGGGAATACATCTACAGCATGCTGACACCAGCTGGCACATGGACCCTGATGAATCTATGAAAAGCATCCAGAAAAGAGACAGAATCAGCAGGCAGCTGACAGACTGGCTGGGAGGAGGGCGGGGGGGAGGGGGAGG